ATTTTCTCAAAACCTAATTATTCTTCCTTATGGTCTCTTAAAATAAAAAGGCAGTTACATCTACTACAGATCACTGGTGACCAGAGGGAAAAATTTGATATAAGATCTGATTTTGTCCCTGGATAATGACATTTAACCCTTATTAGGCAGTTTTACTCATATGCCCTGACTTCTTCAGAATACTCTAGTATTTTGTTCTCTTTAATAAAGGAAATTTGTTAAGCTTCTAATTTAATAGATAATGTAATTTGTATGCTTTGAATAAACAGTGTGACAAAAAAGACAGAAAAATAAGCCCTCTGTTTATTCCCTAGGTGCTGATATGGGGATTTGGCAATAAGCTTACCTTGCCTAAACAAAGGTTTCAGAGCCATGGTTAGAGGAACATGTTAGGGTTCATACCACGTGATATTTATCTTATGGGTAGGGCAGTGGAAACCAAATGAAATAGGGTGTCTCAGACCCTCACAGGCCAGCAACAGCTGCCATGGAGATTTTAGATGCCTGTGTCATAAGCTTATCTCAAGAGGAGGGCTACTCTTTGGCTTCTGCCCATGTTTTTATGGGCAAAAAAGAATACAAAAGAGTTGTCCAGACCAGTATGCTGGCCCTGTTCCCACGATGCTGAATTCTCTTGTCATGGGGGCTATAAGACCACTGATGGTTTTTGTATTCAATGAGAAGGGTGAATAGCAAGGGGAAGGGAGCGTGTCTACTGAGGCTAACACTATGGGCCAGTGCCAGTAATCAAAACAACACAAAAGGGAGTATGTTTAGTTTGTGCAAAAATGGATTTTATAGCCCACTATCCTCTGAATGAAGGAATGGGAAAGAATGGCCCAGGTAATGGTGAGAAAAGGTACACTTAAGCGAGAATGCCAGCCAGGAAGACTTACCCCATCTCCACTGGGGACTTTTCAGTAGAGGAGGCCTCTTTAGGTACACACTCTCCTCTCTTCTGGTTGGAAGTACACACTGAGAACTTCCAGTACTTATAGAAACCACTTGACATCTACTCTGTTATGGGGTCATAAGTGAGTAAAATAATCTCACCCTACCTTTCTCTTTTAGCAGGACAAGACCCATCTATCACTTAGGCCTCCTTCATTAAAATGCTTCTTTGCAGAAGACTACCTCTCTGCATACTTAACTCTGTCTTACTTTGAATAGCTCTTCAGAGCCTTCAGAACAGTGTGATAGACCTTAGCTAATTTAATCCTCCCAAGAGCTATATAAGGTAGGTGAGGAATATACTGTCCCTTTTTCTCAGATTAAGTAACTGAGACCAGAAAATATAAAGTCATTCATCCAAGATCATAGGTTGAAAGGCGAAGAGCCAAGTAGGGCAACCAACCATCACAGTTTTCCCAGGACTGTCCAAGTGTTAGCACTGAAACTTCCATGTCCTGGGGAACCTCTTAGTCCTGAACAACAGGATTATTGACTACCCTATAGCCAGAATTAGAATCCATATACCCCAATTCTCAGTCTGATGCTAGTGCTACTGCCCTATGACATCTGTCTTCGAAGAAATGTTATCTGAATAATGTTTCTTCTTCTCTACACCTTAGTGCACCAATATATTTCTATGTGCTGGGTCATCCTCCCTCCCCATTCTGCCTAGGACAGGAGCAATAGAAGCTATGGTCCTCAGAGGTACTGAAGACACTGCTGGCAAAGGCAAACCATGTTTCAGCTTTACCATCCACAAAATAAAGATGATAATCCCTCTACTACTTGCAGAAATGTTGTGTAGCTCAAATAATAATAGACGTGAAAGTGCTTTCTATACTGTTAAGTGTGACATGTGAGGTATTATGGTTATTCTGTACCCACTTGGCAGAAGCCAACTCCTTGTTTTACCATTCCCTTTACCAGTTCACTTCCTGATGTAGCCACTGTGAATTTCATCAACTTTCTTGGCCTCTGTGCCTCAGCTTCTTCATATGTAAATTGAAGCTAATAACAGTCCCAGATATGGTTGTTTTGAGAATTAAATGAGTTATTGCATGTAAAGCATTTTATAAGGGATCCTGGCACATGGACAGGGTTATATAAGCATTATCTGCTTGAGGTTGGCTTCCTTAGCTCCTCTAACTCAGAACCAGAGACTAGATTAAGAGGACCCAGAAACCAAGTGACATGGAAGCCATTAGTTACCTTTCAATCCCTTCCTACTAGATCCCTAGTTCTTGTTTTGTACCCACAGCCTTCTGACCATGGATTGCCAAGAAAATGAGTACTGGGACCAATGGGGACGGTGTGTTACCTGCCAACAGTGTGGTCCTGGACAGGAGCTCTCCAAGGTAAGTCCCCGTGGTCAGTATACTTACTTTTGTCACATCTTAAAAACCAGCGTGGCAACTGAAAGGGGGCAAGGTTAGGGGAGTCAGCCCCACCTATGAATGATTCAGTTTAGCAGGTAAAATATGGGATACAAAGAGTTTGCAGTAGTAGTCACAATCCCAGCAAGAAGTCAGCCTAGCAGGATCAGTATTGGGGAAGTTTCCAAGAAATAAGAGGGTATCTCAGGAGAAGATGTGGAATGCAGAGGCCCAAGAAGACTGTTCAGGATTAATCTGTCAATTAAAGCAAGGCTCACCTACTTGGGGTTCAAAAGCCAGATAGCAGGTCTTAGGAATGAGAAAGAGAGAACTGAGAAGGCTAAAATGTGGCTTCTGTCCTAGAGGGCCTGGGCTACTGAGGAATCTGTGCAAGGAAGAATTCAGGGATAAAACCCCAGCTAGAGATAATGGTCAGAACAAAACGACCAGCAAGGCAGAGACTTTATGCCAAGTACTGGTTGTCAAGGCTGGGTCTATTTAATTTTTCTTGACTCAGGTCCATTGTTGGTCCCTGAACCTGGTGGTCTTAAATTTGGGCTGCATCTGGAGCCATGAAGGCTGGAAGCAGACATTTGTCAGGTGGTTTCTACACACTCATACCTTGTTTTATGCGATCGTTCATTCATTCAGCAATTACTTACTGAACACCTGCAAAGTGGCAGGCATGCTTGTAGGCATCACGGATATGGCAAAACATAAATTTTTTCCCTCATGAACCTTACCTTTTAATTAGTGAAACAAATAATAAGCGAGATACATACATAGATAAATGAGAAATCTTGATATAAAAATATGACAAGAATCAAATTAGGGTAATGTGACTGGGTAGCTATTTCAGATCAGGAAATAGGGGAAGGCCTCCCTAAAGGGAGGGAGAGGATACAGCTGGGAAGAGGATACAGCAAATGCAGAATCCCAAGGTGAAAATGAACTAGGCACATCAAAGAAGAGGAAGAAGGTTAGTACAATTGTTCTATGGTGAGTGAGAGGAAGAATGGTCCACGGTGAGGTCAGAGAAGCAGGGAGGTATGGGTCAAACCATGTGGGGGCTTTAGGTCTAGGAGAAATTTTCATTTTTTTAAGTGCACTAGAAACTCTTTGGAGGGTTTTGGGTAGGAGAGTGACATGATCTTGTGGCTGAAACAAAATACAGCAATTATTTAGCCCACCCTCTTCCTATCTCTTTATTTCAGAAATGAAGAGAATAAGGCCCAAGGTGTATTCAAGGTATAGGTTATCAAGGTATACAAGCACTGACTCTAATTTTAATTCTTGACACATAAAATTGTATCCCACAGTAGTGTGCCTATATGATTGATAAAAGGATCTCAGGACCAAGGGAAGACCACCAGAGGTTAGGTGGTACTGGATATTAGGATGGGCCCAATGGAATAAGCTGCCTGGCTTAACAAAAATTTGTTTTAAATACTACATCAATCTTCTTGAAAAGCCTTACAAATGTTCCTATCATGTGCATGGCCATTACCTTTAAAGTCATCCATATTTACAAAGCTGAACTTCTCCAAGGGAGAAAAATAGACCTATTTGTCTAACTCCTTTTAACCAAACTCTCAAAAAGAAGCCCATGATGATATCTACATTTGGCTCAGCACCTCTCTGACATTTACTTCTGCACCACTAGAAAGCTCACAGAAAATGAATTGCAATATCGTGCTCCTGCAAAAGCATTATATATAAATAGCTTGTGCTTGTCTAGTAGTCTGTACTTGGTAGAGAGCTCTCATGTGCATTATCTCATTTGGCTCTTACAACAGTCCCACTAAGAAGGTATTATGAGCCCCGCTTTATAGATGAGACAACTACAGTTAAAAGAGGAGATGTGACTTGCTGAAAGTCACAATGGTGCATTAAAAATACATATAAGCATGTTAGAGCCAGATACACATGGGCTTGGGTCCCATCTTCGTTGTGGGCAAAGTATTTCACCTCTGAATCAATTAGGGTGTACTAAGTTGAAGGTAACATACAATTTAACAGTGACTTGAACCATAAGCACGTTTATTTATATAATGAGTCTGGAGACAGGCAGCCTTTTGGTTTGTTGGGCAGGTCAACAACGTCATCAAGGGTCCTCTTCTTCATCCTTCATCTTGGGTACTTTGCTGTTTTGTCCTCATGCTTGTGACTACATGATTGCCACATTCAAAGCATCACATCTTCGCAACATACTCAAAATCAGAAAGCAGGAATGGGGTCAAAATAGCTTTCCTTTTGTTAAGGAGGAAGTATTTTCCCAGAAGCTTTGCAGCAGAATCCCCCTTATACCTTATTATCCAGAACTGGATGATGTAGCTGTCTCTAGCTAGAAGGGAGGCTGGGATGTAAGTATCTGCCAGATGAGAATGGGGATTGCCATGACTGACTAGGACCAATCAAGAATCTGTTCTTGAGGCTGGTCATCATGTCATCTAGAATGAAATCAATGTTCTATTAGTGAGGAAGAAGAAGAGCAATGATGTCTGGATAAGCAGCTAGCAGCATTGGAGACAGACTTCTTTTTTTAGTTAACTTTTTACTTTAAAATTTCACTCATGAATTATAAACATCACTGTAAATAAATCATTACAGAAAATTAAAACTATTTCCTCAGGAAGGACATAAGAGTATAATTGCCAAGCTAAATAATGTATACAGTTTTAAGATTCTTGAAATATATTAGCAGATAACACTTCTGAATTTTTTTTACTAATTTCCATTACAGTTACATTATTTTCAACAGTGTGTAGAATTCCCATATTCCAGAAGCCTGACCACAAATGAATAATGCATTTTTCCATTGTATATTAATTTTATTTCTTCCTTTGTAATATTAAATTACTAATTTATGAGGACTTTATGAGGATTTTGTTTTTACTTTTTTCTATTTGATAGGGAAAATATACCAACCTTTTTCGGTTTATGTGTCCATTTGCATTTCTAATTTTGTGAATTATTTCTGATTGCTTCTTTTTCTGAATATTCATTGTTCATTGTTCATTCTGTACTTATGTTAGGCAACAGAGGAGACAAACATATAGCAGAATACAGAGTATTCTTTAAATCCTTCGTGTGTGTGTATATATATATATATATATTTAAAAATCCACCTGGGTATGGTGGTTCACGCCTGTAATCCTAGCACTCTGGAAGGCCAAGGCAGGAAGATTCTTTGAGGCCAGGAGTTTGAGACCAGCCTGTGCAGCATAGTGAGACCACATCTCAATCAATCAATAAAATCAATTAGCTGGGTTTAGTGGCATATGCGTGTAGTCCCAGTACTTGGGAGTCTGAGATGGGAGGATCACTTGAGCCCTGGTGTTAGAGGGTGCAGTGAGCTATGATCATGCCACTACATTCCAGCCTAGGTGACAGAATGAGACCCTGTCTCTAAAAAAAAATGGTTTTGAATTTTGTTTCATTTTGTCATCACCTATAGTTTTTCATATATTTTCTCTTTGACATATTAATTTGATGACATATATTAATAAATTCCTAAAATTAAAATATCATGCATTCCCAGCATAAACCATTCTCGATTATAGTTTTGAGTTAAATATCCTTTTATATTTTATAAATTAGTATTTTATTTAGAACAAATAATTATTTTATAGTAATGTCAGCATCAAAATTTTGTACTAGCATTATACTACCATGGTAGAGTTAAGATCAATGTTTTCTGGTTATAAAATTGATTAGTAGCAAAAGAATTTGGGGACCTTGATCATATGAAAAAACTTCCCTTGACTCCTAATTAGAAAGGAGTATTCGCAATAAAATTTTTTTCATGATAATTTGCTCCTTTTAAATTTCTTCAGAAGTGATTCATCCACTTATTTAAGAAACGATTATTGAGAAAAATGTGATAGTCTTTGGTTTTATTTCACTATTGACCATCTCTGCCTTTTAGTTGATTTACTTAGACCCTTTGTATTTAAGATAATTATTAATATATTAGAGCTTAAGTCTGCCATTTTATTATTTGTTTGTTTGTTTTTTGTGTTTCTTATTCCACTATTTGTCTTTTCTTGCCTTCATGTGGGTTGTGTGAACATTTTGTTTAGGATTCCATCTTGATTTATTTGTAGTGTTTTTGAGTGTATCTCTTCATTTCTCTTAAAGGTTGTTCTGGGTATTACAGCATACACATGTAACTTTTCAGGGTTTAATGGTATCAATTTATTTGCTGTTTCAAGTGCAGTATGGAAAAGTCACTTCCATTTAGGTTCCCTTACTCTCCCCACTTTTAAATATCATCGTCATGAATATCAGACATAATAATTTTTGTTATATTTGTTTTAATCATCAAATATGATTTATAAAACTTATGAAGAGAAAGACAGTTCATTTTATGTACCCATATTCTTGCTCTTCCAGTGTTCTTTCTTCCTTCCAAGACTCCTTTTGTTATTTTTATTTTTTTTTCTTAGTTTTTGAGACAGGGTCTCAAGATGTTGCTTGGGCTAGAGCACAGTGATGTCATCATATCTTACTGCAAACTCAAACTCCTGGACTCAAACAATCCTGCCTTAGCCTCCCAAGTTGCTGGGACTACAGGTGTACTCCGCCACATCTGGCAATTTTTTTAAACTTTTTTGTAGAGACAGAGTCTCACTATTGCCCAGCCTGGTCTTAAACTCTCGGCCAAGATTCCTTCTTTTATCATGTTCTTTCTTCTTCTATTCAAAAAATCATTTCCTTTCTGTTTGAAGAACTCCCTTTAGCGGTTCTTTAAGAGTAAGTCAACTAGCAACAAATTCTTTTAGTTTTTCTTTGACTGAGGATGTTTTTATCCCCCCTTCATTCCTGAAAGATACTTTCACTGGATATAGAATTTGCAGTTGACAGTTCTTTTCTACCAGCACTTGGAAAATGTATCACTTCCTTGTGGCTTCCATGGCTTCACTGTCATTTGAATTGCTTTTCTTCTATAGGTAATGCCATTTGGTTTTGGCTATTTTCAA